GAGACGAAGTTCCTTGCAAATTTCTTCGACGACGACACCGAGATCTCTATCGGATCGTTGCTCGACGAGAAACAAAAAGACGGGGAGTTAGTCGACACCTTCGTCAAAAGGTTCCGGAACAAGGCGATGAATTGCCGGGACCCGATCACCGAGGAATTCATTCTCCAGACTTGCCACAACAACCTCGCATTGGACGTATTGGAGGCAATGGGGACAGCACCGTCTGACACTTGGAAGGATCTGAAGGTGCGCGGTGAACAAGCCGAACGCTTCCTTAAAAGGAAGAAGGCCGAAAGGAACCAACCGACGGTTAATCTGCTGGACTCAAACTTCGCTTCCCGTGGTAAGGGCAAAGCACCTGCAGCTGCTGGTGGTGCTAATCAAGCGTCACAACAGCAATCCCGAAGGCAGCAGAAGACTTCGGGTCCGAGACTCCAGAGAGAGTATTCCTTCAAGGACGAAGACGTTCCAACCATCTTCGAATCGCTCCTCGAAGGCAACAAGATCAAGCTACCACCTATCACGAATCAGGAGGAAGCTGATAACACTACGGACCCAAAGTACTGTGCATACCACAGAAGGGTTGTTCATCCCACCAAGGATTGCTTTGCTCTCAGGAATAGCATTCAGACCTTGGTCGAAGCCGGCGTTATAACGCTAAGGTAAGCCAAATAAAAACGGCAAAACTCCGACCGGTATAAGAGTATAAACTGCTTCCTGACACTCCAAAGAGTATACGAGTATAAACTGTTTCTCAATCCTCCGACCGGTATAAGAGGTTAAACTACTCCCTGATACTCCAATAGGTATATGAGTCTAAACTGTTTCCCCACTTTTGACGGGAAGTTCCTGGAGAATATTAAGCTAATATTCTTAAGGATAACCCGGTTAGTTAACTGATAATAATGTCCGAACCAGTTCCGCAGAGGAAACTGGGGGTGGACGATTTATGTAACGGGAAGTTCCCAAAACCACAGCAATGTAATGAATAAGGACTCCCATTCAAGTTCTCACTGTGTCTGTGCACTCAACACTCTCTCTGTTAGAGTCTGGACGTAAAGTTCCTGATTGGTCAAACCTTCTTACAGTTAGGACCACAGTCAAAATCCCCTCTCGATTCTCCCAATGAACGAGAGGTCCACAAATCAAGCGATCAAACCTTCCTACAGTTAGGATCGTCTTAAACCTTCCATTCGGTCAAACCTTTCTACAGTTAGGACCAAAACCAAAAACCCCTCTCGATTCCTCCAATGAACGAGAGGTCCACTTTCAAATCGAGTGATCAAACCTTCCTACAGTTAGGGTCACCTCAAACCTCCCACTTGGTCAAACCTTCCTACAGTTAGGACCAAAACCACGATTCATTCTCGATAAACGAGAAATTCATCTTTAGTTCGATAATCAAACCTTCCGACAGTTAGGGTTATCCGAATCTTTTTGATTCTCGGAGTGGAGATCCCACTCTTAGTTTCACCTTTCCGGATTCTGGGGGTGGAGATCCCACCTCGAGTCTCCTTTCCTTCTTTGTTCGGGGAATAGAATATAAAATTCTTCCTTCCCCATACCAATCCTTTTCGAAGAATTCAGGATTCATCCTAGGAAGTTTATCCCGAATCCTAAGCAGGGATAAGTCTGCGCCTAACACGCGCTGCCGGTTTAGTCTTTTTTCTGCACAAAAAGACACCAGAGTTCGATTCTGGGGTATTCTATCCTGAAACCTAAGCAAGGATAAGTCTGCGCCTGACACGCGCTGCCGGTCAGTTCTTAACCGTTTAAAAAGAACACCCGTTCACATATTCAACATTGTGACAGGTTGTTATTAATAACACCAAAATCCATGCCTTACACGCATGGGGAATTTCATCCTGAATCCTAAGAAAGGATATGCCGACGCCTAACACGCGTCGCCGGTTTAGTCTTTCCCCGTAGAAAAAGACACCAGAGTTCGATTCTGGGGTATTTTATCCCGAAGCCTAAGGAGGGATAAGTCAACGTTTAATACACGTTGCTGGGTAGCCTATTCCCATGACAACGGCGAAGTCTATGTATTCAAAGTCATAGCAACAAGTCTTAGAGGATTCAGTCTCTAAGCACAACGTTACATGCGGAACGGATTTAGACAATTCGCATGCTAGCCCGACTCAAACGGTAGTCGGTAAAGGTTAATCAAATCCGTTAAAGGCTTGGGGTTAGCCAAAAATCCTAAAGTCAGCGCCTAACACGCGTCGCCGGGTAGTCTATTCCCGTGAGAAAGACGAAGTCTACGTATTCGAAGTCGTAGCATCAAGTCTAAGGGAGTTCATTCCTTTAGCACAACGTCACATGCGGAACGGACTTAAGACAATCCGCATGTAAGCCCGATTCAAACGGTAATCGGTAAAAGCATGACAAATCCGTTGAGGGCTGAGGATTTGCCAAAAATCCTAAGTCAACGTCTGATACACGTTGCTGTTTAGTCTTTTCACAGGAGAAAGACGAAGTCTACGTATTCAATATCGTAGCACTAAAAGAGTTAACTCTTTTAGCATAACGTCACATGCGGAACGGACTTAAAACAATCCGCATGCTAGCCCGACTCAAACGGTAGTCGGTAAAGGCGCATCAAACCCGTTGATGGCTGAGGATTTGCCAAAAATCCTATAAATATGCGAGTCATTGACGCATCAACTTTATGAGTTGGTCTCGTGACTCGAGCATCCAACGACCTTGGGATAAGATCCATGCTCCAATTCCTTAAGAGCTTAAACCGTGTGTACTCCAGCAGACGTACGAGTATAAACTGTGTCAAATGCCGAACAGTGCATCATAATGAAGCCTGGACGCCGGACAACGCGTCGCAATGAAGCTCAAACGCCAGACAACGCGTTATAGATGAAGATTCAACGCAGTCAATCGATGATAAGTTCTGTGTTGAAGCAGCAAACTCGAGCCAAAAAGTCAAGAAATCAAGAATCGACTTCAAGTTCAAATTCCAACAACGGTCAGACAATAAATGCAGCACCGGAACCCCTACAGGCATTCTACAAAGCACTGAATAGCCTGAAGGAATTGAAGGAATCCAGAACAGAAGTCATTCCAGAGTCCCGTTACACCGACTGAAGGTTGGGACAATCACATCCAAAGTATTCCAGACTCTTCTATAAAAGAATGAGACTGAAATACTTTGGAGGGGGTATCTGTAGGCGTATAAAATTGCCTATAGGTCCCTTAGCACAGCTCGACGCCGATTTAACAAACGGACCACCGGGCGACGTATCCAAACAAGACCGTTAGCTCGCCAACGCTGAAGCCAAGCTATACGCAACGGAGCAGGTTAACGAGGCGACAAATCGCACCCAAGCATTGGAATGCATCCACTCGCACGCGGAATCAAACCAATGTTTAGGTGAATCACCGAGTCATCTAAACAAGAGCGAACTCGGATGAATCACGATCAAATCAACATCAATTCCGGACTCAAATTCAGAAGTTGGTTTACTGCCATATCAGGAACCCGACTCACTGCCATATCTGGAATCAAGTCAACAAGTCGTTGCCAAGTCAATCAACCACACAAGAGAACCAGAACCGGAAACAAAGGACGAAACGGACAAACACCCGGGGACTCGGCCGAAACCGAACCACCCCAGGGTGGCTCGGCCCAAGCCGAGCCACCCTGAGGTGGCTCGGTGGCCGAGCCACCCCAGGGTGGCTCGGCCAAGGCCGAGCCACCCTGAGGTGGCTCGGCCAAAGCCGAGCCACCCCAGGGTGGCTCGGCCAAGGCCGAGCCACCCTGAGGTGGCTCGGCCAAGGCCGAGCCACCCATGGGTGGCTAGGCTCAGAACTGTGCGCGGGCACAGTTCTGAGTGCCTATAAATAGGCCTTGTGCTCATTTGTTTCAGAGGTTGGAAATTTTGGAGAGAGGCGAAGCCCTGCTGGATTGAAGACTCAGATCTAAAAAAGATCACAACTTTGAAGGCTTGGAGACTTGGACTTTCAGATCCGGTGCTCGGCGATCACCAACGCCAAATAAGGCAGGAGTTCGAGAGGATTGGATTTGAGATCTACACGATCACACTCCGGATCTAAGCTTGGTTCTTAGATCCCGAGATTCGAGCGGTTGTTTCCTTGGTGAAACAATCCCTCCCGGCTATTATTCCCTTGGTGGAATATTACCCGTCATATCGTGTAGATCCGACCGGATCGAGATCACGCGGTGGTCCACGGCAAATAACCCCGGCGCAGGCAAAGAACCCACCAAAGCGAGCGACCGCAAAACAGGAGCTCGTGATTAGTTCGACAAATAAGAAAAATTGTAATCTTTACTTTGTTTTCTTTGATTTTTCATTGTAACCGGATCTTATAAAAAGACCGGATCTTTGTAACGCATAAAGTTGTTAACTGAGATAGCAATGATATCAACAATGAAGAAAGCCACAATTTTTCCCGCGAACAACCACTAGCTTCAATAGTTAATTTTTTGGATGTGGTTTTTTTCCTATTCTTCTTTGGATCTGGCGATGTTTCTACCTCTTCTTCTACGAGGTCACGTTTGGAACCTGATTCGGGAGTAGATCCATTACCACTAGTGTGAGAAAGTTGCACGCCACTAAGATTAGGACTGTGAAATTGTGGAGGAAAAGTTGGAGAATTCAACATGTTCGTATATGATCCCAGATTATGGTGCATTGGATAGTAGCTGTTATCATAGAATGACATGTTCGGGTATACTTGAGGTGGTTGTACAAAGTATGACTGCTGAAATGGAAAATACCTACCACCACCATGATGCACAGACTGAAGGGTTTGAGGTGGTGGGAAAGCTGATGGAACTACCCTATTGTCTTTTTTATTATCTCTTCCACTCAATGATATATTATCAGCCATTACTAATTAAATAGAGAAAGTTAGATAAATGAAAGAAGTAAAACATGAATTCATAAATTAAAAACAGAACGACATTAATGGAAATAGAGTTATTGAGTACATGTGACTGAGCATAAATAGAACAAAAATAAAAATCAAGTCTCTGTGGTTACACCATGATTATACTTATCGTAGTAGTCCACCCACATCGCCCAAGCAATGTCATCTCTAAGAGTCATCCACTCATTTCTTGATTCAATTTGCTCTCTTTGTGTTTGATTTTGAGTAAAATCAACTAAATTAGTGTCATTCTCGAAGGCCACCTCATCATCAATGTCTTCATTAAATTCATCATCGTTGAGTAGTTCATCACTTGGATCTACAGCTATAATGAAATTATGAAGTACCGTGCATGCCAATACGATATCTACTTGTATAGAAAAAGGATAATGCGACTTAGCACACAAAATCTTGAAACGATTCTTCAATGTGCCAAATGCAGATTCAATCTTAGACCTCAATGAAGAATGTCTTAGATTGAATAATTCCCTTCTATTCTTAGGTGTTTTACCTGAATATTCTTTCAAATGATTAGATTGAATAATTCCCTTCTATTCTTAGGTGTTTTACCTGAATATTCTTTCAAATGATATCGAACACCTCGGTATGGAGAGATGGAACCTAGCATGGTTGGGTACCTAGCATCACACAGATAGTATTTGCCTACAATTTTATTAAGCAAATGGTTAAGTCAAGTTTGAATATTAAACTTAATAAATTTTAAGTTAAGTCTTTATTTAATTACCATCATAGACTCTCAATCTATGTGGTTGTGGTCTAGACAATGCATCCTGAAGAATCCTATAATCATTTGCAGACCCCTCCCAACTTGCTAGAACATATGTGAACAACTTGTTTGGGGTGCAAGCTGCAAGCACATTTTGTGTAACACCTTTGCGGCCTCGAAAGCGTGCAACAAGTTTAATCGGAACCATTACATCAACATGAGTCTCATCTATCATTCCAATACAATCCTATAATACATGTACCACACACCTAAATTAAAATTAACTTTCATTGCTTATACATTTAAATGTGCTTAAAGTGTAGATATACCTTGAAATAAGGGTATAGCGGGTTGTTAACGATCTCTTGGGAAATGTCATCGGGGGCTTGTCTCATGTACCGTCCATGTAGGCAAATAATTGCTTGTAATACCTTGTTGAAATATCTATTAACTGTCTCCCCTGATCTTATAAAATGAGATCTAACAATACGATTTTTAGATATATGACCCAGAATGTTTAGTGTTATGATAAGTTGTTCTTCCACTATTACATTCCTTGAGTCTTTTAAAAGTACCCTAATGCCACTAGGAAGGAACCCTAGAGGGGGGTGAATAGGGTTTATGCTAATCTAATCCGATTTATGCCAATTTAAAACTAATTAATAATATATCCAAGCAAGAATGATATTCAACAAGATATGAGCAAGGATATACAATTAACACAAGGGTAAAATAAACATAAACAAAATAAACAAGATAGTGGGCAATATAAACAAAGAGCAATTAACAAAAGCAATATGAATAATAAGCATGAATGTAAAAGTGCGTCAATGCAATCACAAACAAACGATATGTTCACGGAGTTCGGTCCCCACGACCTACGTCTCCGCTCCTCACCTTGAGGAGATCTCTACTATCACACCGGGTTTTCTACGCTTACCCGAAAAACGTTTACATCTCACAATATAGGTTTTTAACGCTCACCGATCAACGTTCACAATCACTCATAATGTAACTACACTAACTACCACCTCAAGTGTTGGTCTCTAGCCCGTGTCTTCCTCAAGTGTTAGAAATTACAACCTCTCTCTAGGCATTACCACCTACCCCACTCCTCTTGGGATGACCCCGTCTCTCACCACATTACCCCACTCCTCTTGGGATGACCCCGTCTCTCACCACACACTCCTCTTGGTGTACTAGTGTAATACAATGTGAACTTCACAATTGGGATGACCCCGTCTCTCACCACACACTCCTCTTGGTGTACTAGTGTAATACAATGTGAACTTCACAATTAGGCACTCTAATACACTTAATGCAATTTCTAATACACTTCACACCCTCTAAGTGTTGGCCTAGCCCGTGTCACCTTCCTCAAGTATTTAGAATTACCACCTCTCACTAGGCTTTACTACTGACCCCACTCCTCTTGCAACCGACCTCGTCTCTCACCAACTACTTCTCTCGGTGTCCAAGTGTAATACAATGTGTAACTCACAATAAAGCTCACAAATATAAATTTGTTCTCTACAATAGACGAGAACACAATTAAGCTCACTCTCAATGTCACAAACCCAAATTGTACTATGAATACGAATACAATAAGCTCAATAGGTTGTGTGTAAACAAAGAGTATCAATAAAACAATTAAACTCAATAATAAAATCTAGCTTATGAAAATTAGAATCAAAACAATAAAATAGCTAGAATTGAGTTTAAAGAAACTTTTCTATAGATAACAAGAGAGAGGGAGAAGAGTGAATGCTCAAACACCAAAAGATGATCTCCTCTTTGCTCTTGTGAAAGTTACTTCACAAACTTGAAACCAAAACTAAAACAAACTTAAACCCTTGTTAAACTTTTGTAAACTTGTATAAATAATTTTCTTAAGTCAAAACAGAGCTGGGTATGAGGGGATATATATAGGGAACCCCAAAGATTAAGAAAACCCAGCAAAAGGACCAATAAACCGACAAAGGCTGAAAAAACTAGCCGTTACAACATCAGTCGACTGACGGCTTTCATCAGTCGACTGATTCACAAACTTGAAACCAAAACTAAAACAAACTTAAACCCTTGTTAAACTTTTGTAAACTTGTATAAATAATTTTCTTAAGTCAAAACAGAGCTGGGTATGAGGGGATATATATAGGGAACCCCAAAGATTAAGAAAACCCAGCAAAAGGACCAATAAACCGACAAAGGCTGAAAAATTTAGCCGTTACAACATCAGTCGACTGACGGCTTTCATCAGTCGACTGATGAGCTGACCGTTAGAAACATTTTCCAGCTCATCAGTCGACTGACGAACCTTATCAGTCGAATGGTCAGTCAGAAATTTTTGTTAACTGTAGGCACTTTCATCAGTCGACTGATCGGTCGACTGATTGCATTAGTCGACTGACCAGTCGACTGATAACAAGTATACAGCCTGTTTAAAACAAAAATCTGATTTTTAAACTGCTTTTAAAAATAGCAAACAAATTCAGAAAAATATAAAACTTCGGAAAATGATTGTAGACATGATAATACACATGTTACAAAAATTGGTTTTCAAAAAACACCTCCTAAATGAAAAATCACTTCATTTTTCAAAACAAGTCCAAAACATGAAAATACAACAACACTTGTTTTGTCATTTTGACTAAACCATATTTTGAAAACTCTTGTATGACTTTATAGACTTGATAAAATGTATGAACTATTGTTTTAGAGTCTATAACCCAAAAACACAATATATTTCCAAATATAATAGAATATGAAATATATGAATGTGTATATGAATATATATTTGTTTCATATCTACAAAACTAAACCAAAACATATATGTATATATATAACTATATATATACAAAACCAAAACTTGTATGTGTGTATATGATTGAGCTTAAAGTAGCGACACACATAATATAAAACTTAAACTATTTACCCAAGCAATGATCTTGATCTTCAATAAGCTCTTCTTGGTAAACTTGCGGATGGAGCTTGAACTTGGATCTTTAGCTTGATTGCATTGCTTCACTCTAATATTCTGCCAACCTCCATTGGATATGATCGTTGAATCTCAATTCCATCCATCCTCCAATATATTGTTTGCCTAGAATAAATATAAAATACAAACACTAGACAAACAACATTAGGAGTAAATTGTTTGTAAATTATCATCAAAACAAAAGGACCCAACATCTTTTAGCAGGTTATTGTTCCTCATTATACTCGCTAGTTTAACAAAAACACCACTCCACATTCTAATATAATTTACGCAACTATCATTAAAACCATTATAAATTCGATCTATATGCTCAATTCTAGATCTCTCTTGTCTTGTTTTTCCTTACTTGGACCACTACGAATTGATTTACGTCTTGCTTGCATTCTACTTATGACAGTTATAATTATAATTAAAACGGATAGAGCAGCACCTTAAACCATAATAACAATACTTTGTTCATCAGAACAATCACCGTCATCATCCATCTACGATGAAAAAAATCAATTTTTTGTTAGAAATTATGTCAAATTCTTACAAAATCTAAACAAATTATAAATTACTAATTACTAACATGGATTACTCCATATCTAAGCAACAAAAATTATAGTGACATAACAAATACTGCATATCTAAGCAACAAATATTACAGTAATAAAAAAAATGCTAATCCATTACAAATAATAATCAATGTGACTTTCTTTAAATCATTAAGGACTACAAAAACAAAAGGTGAATTTCACAAAGAAAAAGTTAATAGCTACAAACAGTTCGCACAAAATTGACAATTAGCAAAAACTATTTTTTTCTCAAAATCTGCTAAATATAATTATTTATTGCAAGAATAAATTCATAATAAACAGGCAATTAATTGCATGAAGAATACTTCAAGAAGTCACATAGGAACAATCTCTATTACACAGAACATAATGAAACTTAATTTAATGAGCTAGAATCATTATCTACTATATACATAAATCAGTAGTATCCTACAAAATTTTTGGAAAAAAATTTCTTAATTATTCCAACAATATATGTTTCTACATCCTACTAGAATCATTATCTACTATATATAGTTATTTAATATTTATCTCATCTCAGATTTGGATACACCATATATCCAGTGATGCAATATGCTTTATATTAACTATTTCTTTACCGCCATAAGCATACTCAATTTTTAGGGTTAACAAATTGGTGAAGTTACATATAATGTTTAATTCAGTTAAAAGGATAATTCATAAATTTAAAGAAGGTATAAAAACGTAGGCAATCATTATATATACATTACAAAATGTCTGCATACTATTAAACAACGTAAAAGTTAAGATCTGCTAAAAAAATTTGGTAAACACACACATATCCTCTATTATTAACAAAATGTCTGCATTCATAAATTTCGATTGAGATCCTTTAAACGCACACACACAAACACACATATCCCTCATTCAACTGCTTTTGCGGAGCTTAAAACCTAATGCTATATGAGCATCACTACAAAATATTACTACTTAACAGTGAACAAGAGGGATAAGCCGAATTAAAAGAAAACCAACGGCTTTTTGAAAAAAAAAAGCATTTAAAAAATTTTGAAAATTAAAAAAGAACCATATAGATGTATATTTTCCCCAAGAAATTAACAAGACTTCTGGACATTCCTTAAAATTGAAGACATAAATAAATCACAATGATCTAATCCCACTTATAACACGTACATAAATCTAGATCTCTAAAAAAAAAATCAAATTCAACGTTCAGATCTGAATAGTGTCGGCAAAGATCAAATACCCTTACCCTAATTACTCAAAAATTTGATCTAAGTTGATCTAAAAATCTAAAAATTTAAAAAAAAGAATTTTTACCTTGATGTTGGAAGCAACAACGTTGGAAAGATCAGATCTGAATAGCGTAGGCACAAGATCAGACCCCCCCTCCCCCAATTTCTTCGAATTCAGAGACAAAGATGGCGACGGGAGTTTCTGGCGGGAGGAGAGCAAGGGGGTAACTATAGCTCAACAAAGAAATCAACGACAAAGCCAAAAATCCGACGTGATGCTGGTTTTCGTCGATTTCACTCCGATGGGGAAGGAATTGGGGGAGAGGAAAAAAATCTAAGTGGCGGCGATTTCTGCAGTCGTTTCTCTCTTCAGCCCTAGCGAAACAAAGCTAGGAAAGAAAAACTTGGGAATTGTTAAACCGACGTGGAGGGTTTTAAGAGTTTTCCGTGGGTCATAATAGCGAACCAAACAGCCCCTAAGGGCTGAATCACATGAGAAAAAGTTAAAGGAGCTGAAGCACACGAAGGTTTTGCTTTTGGGGTCTTGGCACAATTTTCCCAAAAGAAAAGATATTTGTAGTATGGGAGAATATGTTTTTCTTTCCCTTTTCTTTCTTTTTCACTCTCTCAAAGAAGAGCAGCTTTGTTCTATTTTTTTAAGAAGTTTTTTTTGTTATCTTCCAAGAGTTTATTTCTCCCTTAGTTGGGAGATCAATAGTTCAGACGATTTTTTTTCATGCACTTTGCTAATTTTTTTTAGAAATATGCTAATGATTATTTCACTAGATCGTGCCAAGAGAATGTAGTAGGTTTCTATTTTGGTGACAAATACTATTGACATTTTCACAAACTACCTTCATCGACCTTAAACTCATTTATTCATTATTCTCAATTCCTTATGTATAGTTTAATAAAATATAAAGTTTCATGTTTTCCTGAAGTTTTAGATTTGACGTGTCAAAATATCATTTAAAGAAACAAGCGTCAAACTATGAGCTATTATTAACTCTTTCTGAAAACAAAGAAAGAAATGAAATGAAAGGATTTTACGCGCAATCTATAAACGTCAGAGGCTTTTCTGCAATTTACGCAAAAAAACTGTTCAACCCAAAATTTCCAAATTCGAGCGTAAAAAAAAAATCCCTCCCTTGTACCCCTTTCTCAAATCAATTCTGAAGCCTCGACCGCCATGGCGACAACGACGATAGTAGATTACAAATTGAACGGATAGGCTGCAGGTCGGTTTTTGAATTTTTTTTTAAACTTCACGGGAGTTTAACTCCCGTGAAGTTTAGCAGCTTTACTAAACTTCACGGGAGTTGAACTCCCGTGAAGTTTCGGAAGTTTTTTCACAAAAAACCGACTTGGTTTCAGCGCCAAGGCTAAAACTAGGTTGGTTTTTGCAAATAAGTTCAAAACAAGTCGTTTTTTAGGATTAAATGTTTAAATAGGGTGGTTTTGAAAATTTATCCTTTAAAAAAACAAGCGTCAAACTATAAACTATTATTAACTCTTTCTGAAAACAAAGAAAGAAATTAAACAAAAGAATTTTACGCGCAATCTATAAACGTCAGGGGCTTTTCTGCAATTTACCCAAAAAATGGTTCAACCCAAAATTTCCAAATTCGAGCGCAAAAAAATCCGTCCCTTGTACCCCTTTCTCAAATCAATCCCGAACCCTCGACCGCCATGGCGACGACGGCGATAGCAGATTACAAATTGAACGGATGAGCTGCAGGTCGGTTTTTGAATTTTTTTTTCAAAACTTCACGGGAGTTCAACTCCCGTGAAGTTTACCGGCTTTACTAAACTTCACAGGAGTTCAACTCCCGTGAAGTTTCGGAAGCTTTTTCACAAAAACCGACTTGGTTTCAGCGTCAAGGCTGAAACCAGGTCGGTTTTTACAAATAAGTTCAAAACAAGTCATTTTTTAGGATTAAATATTCAAATAGGGTGGTTTTGAAAATTTGTCCTTTAAAAAAACAAGCGTCAAACTATGAGCTATTATTAACTCTTTCTGAAAACAAAGAAAGAAATGAAACAAAAGGATTTTACGGGCAATCTATAAACGTCAGGGGCTTTTCTGCAATTTATCCCCCCAAAAAAACTGTTCAACCCAAAATTTCCAAATTCGAGCGCAAAAAAAAAAAATCCCTCCCTTGTTGTACCCCTTTCTCAAATCAATCCCGAACCCTCGACCGCCATGGCGACGACGACGACAGCAGACTCAATCCCGGTCATCGACCTCCGCCTCCTCACTCAGTCTGAAATTAACAACCTCGCTCTCTCCTCCACCAACTCCTTCAACCTCGAAACCCTCTCCGACGTCATCCCCAAGATCGACCGCTCCGTCTTCAACGAGTCCGCCGGCAGCCGAAAACAGACCTACTCTCGCCTCCCTCTCTTCCAAAAGCCCCAATCTGAAACCCTAATTTCCCAATCTCAAACCCTAGATCCCCCATCCGATCCCCCAAATCCTCAATCTCAGCCCCTCCCTCGCCGCCGCGGCCGCCCTCGCGTACCTCCAGATCGTCACTTTCCTCAAGAAACTCTTCGAATCTCGCGGAAGTCGCAGCTACGTCAAGAGCAACAATGTCAATGTTGTGAGCTCTGCTTCCGTTCTGGATAGGGATAAGGAGGTGAGGAATGGGAAAGGGGAGACGGTGGACTTGGTGGTTTTGGCGGGAAAGGCGGATCTTTATGGGGAGGAGATCAGGAGACGGACGGATGGGCTGCAGACGGAGGAGCAGTTGCTGGGGTATATGACTGGGCTCGATGGGCAGTGGGGGAGTAGGAGGAAGAAGAGGAAGGTGGTGGATGCGGCGGTTTTTGGGGATGGGTTGCCGAAAGGATGGAAGATTTTGTTGGGTTTGAAGAGGAAGGATGGGATTGTGTACTTGAATTGCCGGAGATATGTTAGGTTGGCTTCTTCAACCCTTTTGTTTTTGAATTGGAATATGCTTCGCTTGTTTCTTAAACATTTGTATTTGATATGGAGCTGACTACAAATAGGTTACGAGAATCCTCTATAGTTCACCTTGTGAATTATGCAACTGCAATTTTGATGTTAGATTGGTAGTTGATCGCGCGTCATGACCCAAGGTTGATGATATGATTGTGTTGCCAGATTTGTGGTCACTATGATTTGACCTCATCGTATTACACATGACGCCTTCCCGGTAGGACTGATGTATGAACTTAGGAGCATGACTTGCTATGAAATGTTGTGTCGTAAATTTTGATTGAATTTCCGAGAAACTTTGTGATTGATCTTGATTCATATTCTGCAAGATGCTTTTTTGTTGACATTGACCCCCTCTATCCTCGCTGTCTTCCTCTTGGAAAGATATGAAATAAATTGCTAGTATTGGTGAAGGATGAAGATAGAAGGTATAACGGGAGCGGATGTTGATCTAATTGGACTGGAGTGTTGGAGGAGGATTCCTTTTGAGGAATGTGTTATATAACGAGGTAAATTAGGACAAACTTAATATCATTTGTTTATCCAGAATTGTAATTATAAGGAATCAGACTTCACATTTTCGGATGTTATTTGGGAAGCATGTGAATGCTTTTCTAAGAGTTAGTTTTTGTTTATCAATGTGTTTTGGTAATCATCCAATATTCCAGCAGTTGATATTTTTTAGCGTTAAATCATATGTATGGTCAGATTTGCCCCTTTTTTTTGCCTCATTCAAAGTCATTAGCTTTTATCCTGAATCAAATTTTGATCATATCGTAAGAACCAATGATGTTTACTGTCAACTGGTTTAATGCAGAACCATGGTTTTCTCTTTTTAGTGGGTTGGCTTACTGCTTTATAATGATAACTATCTATTTTGGTGTTCTCTATTGAGCTCATGCTCACTTGGCTGGTTTTCACGGTATAGCTTTTGAACAATTTATGTTGGGCTACATAGTCTCATTTCATTAGGTCATACAAAAGTTGGTATGTCCTTTCCATTCTAATGCTCTGCATCTTTTTTTGGTTAACGCAGTATTAATTAGATTTCTTCAAACATATAGTTTCACTAACATTCTGTACTTTACATACTTTATATATAGCATCCATACTGATATAAAACTGTTTTTTTAATTAATGTTGGTTATATAGTTACACACTATTTTAGGCAATATTGAAAGTTGGTAGTGTTATACAAGGGGGATTCATGCTTAACCATCGCTGCATTTAACTGCCATGCTTGATAGATCATTTGTACTCATGATTCCCTTCTCTTTGCATATTTAACTGATACAGTCCAAGTGGAAAACAATTTATGTCCTGCAAAGAGGTTTCTTCATACATTCTCTCTCTTGATGGACAGCAAGATGCTGGGCAAACAGTTTCTGGTCAAATTGATGACTGTGCCCCAAGGATGGACAAACCAACTCCTGGAAGTGTAAGACTAACATAATATTACTTTTTCAAAAATCCAATTCAGTGTTTAGTTTTAGCTTAATGGATATGCAACAGGTGTCAGGTCTTATCCATGCAGAGGACAGCACAAACTCCTATTTCCCATGTTTCCGCTGAATGTGAGAAAAAGGAGGGTCGATTATTTGGGGTCAAGAATCAGGCAGTGGCTGAACGTGATAACTCTTTAGAATGTCACAAACGCAATATAACCTTTGGTGATAAGGATGCACATTTGCAACAGTTCTCAACCTTCCATCAGAGAAATGCAAAGAGACGTAAACTTGGACAGTCTCTTACAGATGGTGTGATAGTAAAAGATGGAAAATATGAATGCCAGTTTTGCCACAAAACTTTCATGGAGAGACGTCGCTATTATGGGCATATTGGAGCACATATAAGATATGAAGGTTTAAGTGTTGATGCATCGCCATACGATACGGCCGCAAGGACAAACAATGATTCTTCTTACTTGGCTGTAATACCACTTGCTTCGTCGAAGATGAATATTTTGGCTAATAAACATGAAACTACCAAATCGGTTCACAGTCAAAAACATTTTGGTTCTCCACAATGTATATCTGAAGCGGATACAAATGGAGCTAACCATGATCCGAAATTACCTGAAATTCCTGAAGCTATCTCCAGTGGCTTTAAGGTGGAAATTGAACATAATAACTCAGCAGGTGCATTTGGAATTATTTCGCATGCCTCCAACGAGAATAAAATTGAATGTAGTCCAAAGGAAGATGCATTTGGAATTACTGAGGCTGCCTTCAGTGAGAACAAAATTGAATATGATCCAAAGGAAGGTGGAGCTGAAATTGCTAAAGTTATGTCTAATAGTATATCTGTTGATAGACAGATTGAAGATGATGATATAACTCGTGACCAATGCCAAGGGAGTACTAAGGCTGAAGATTTTAGAAGTGGCCTGAATGATGCGTCTCAGAGTTGCTCACCTGTTATAACTCAAGAACCCTCAAGAATAGAATCTGTTCAGAACCAAATAAATGATTGTGAAATGACTGGTGATACATCTGGAATTATCGAGGATAACAGTGTCCAAGATGGAAAACATAATGTATGTCTGGATGCTAGAAGTCCTACTCTTGTGGAGGATGCTACAACCAGCAAGATCATTGGTAAAGCTGGTTTATCTTCCTCCAAGAGCAAAAATGTCAATGATGACAATAGTGATCACACTATAGGTGCCTATAAATCTGAGAAACTGGCTGATCCTAGGAACTCAACAAGTATTGAAATTGCTGAAGAAATCACCTCAAAGGAAAAAATTGTGCCTGCACAGTTTAATTGTGACATCACAGATTATAAATCTGATGTGATGGAAACTACAGATGCTATGAACATTCAATCTAATACATGCATGGATGCATTGACATTGGCACCCTCACTTATCAATGTTGATAGCACTAGCTACAATACTGTAGATCCTTCTCCTTGCTCTATGGCTTCCATGATTGATGATTGTAATGGGCATCAGAAAGTATGTGAAGGCCATCTTTTTCTTTCTCCATCTGGCAATGGGCCAAGCTATGGTGTAGAAGCCTATTCAACGGATATATTTACATCTAAAGCAGAAGAACAGGTGGGATGGGATACATCTAACGCTGAAAAAGGCAACACTGGAAGTGACCAGACTTTAACCAATAAAGATATTGGTATTGCGAGCACCACAAGTAATGAACTTAGTACCAGTTATATATTTACCAATATTGCCAGTGAACCTACTTCTGGAATTGAGACAAATGCAGAATGTATGTTCTCTGGTGATCTGAACGAATCTTTGCTTGAAGGAATTGATACAGTTGATAATGAGCTGCAAGATTATTTTCGTGACAGCAGTATACGTAATGAGGAAGCTGCAGGTGACATCATGGGCAGTTGCCATGGAAGACAAGCTCTGCAGTTTACTGTGGCTGATCAGGCATCATCATGGGTGCAGTCATCTGATAGCCTTCCTATCCTTGACATGATTCCGGATCAGGTGCGAACTCATGCTTTCTAAGAATACCATATTCTAGTTACATTAGAAAATTAAATAGCATAGTTAAGTGCTGAAAGCCAGCGTCATTAGAGATTATACATTTCAAATATCACCTTCTGATCTCACATTCAAAAGGGTGAAGTATTGCTTGGTTCTAGTTTCTAATTTGGTGTTTCTCCATCGTCCTTTGTTGTCTCCGTTTTTCTTCTTTCTCCTTCCTTTAAGAAAAAAAACTTACACTGATGTTGCTGTTACTGGTGGATTGTTTGTACTGTCATTATTTAATGCTTTACAAAGAAAATTATGTTTTTTCCTTTCCATTTTTTGTGTTTGCAACATATCAGTTTTGCGAGTAACGTGCTAAATAATATTTACTTAAATAATTTTAACAAAGCCTTTCATTTGTAGATTCTGCTCTTCTGCTTCCATGAGCATTATTATGATCTATTCTCCTCTAGATTGACATTTGTAGTAAGACCTAGTGTGTTGAACCAATATCTAATGTTATATGCGAAGTAATTATAATTATTGTGTCATAGGCCAGACATAACAATGCCCATGTTACTCAGTACATGTTCACATACATTTTTCTGAAATTTGTATAAAGATTAAACTAATTTTTTTTATACAATTATCTATTTCAGCATATTGTGATGCATGCATGTGTCAACAATTTATGTAAAGGTTTTCCTCTGGTGGCCACAGTACATGACGACCCTCATATAATAGGTCACCTTCATTGGTAGACATTTGGGTTTTGGTTTTACCTGGGAGATGACAGTTGAACTCCGATGCATTTGCATGAATTTTTAGTGAAAGTGACATTAATCTATTGTATCACAACCTTTGGCAGTTTCTAACATGTAGCCCGATATGTAACAGTTCCATAGTGTTTAGTTCACCCGGATTACTTTCCATCCTGGAAATCTTTAATTAAATGGAATCATTTCTTTGTGTGGTCATATTTTTTTTCACTAAGACAATAGCTTCTAGCTCCAATTCACATTTGATAATCTCTTTGATCTGATTTGATCTTTATGAAGGTTTTGTGGTTGTCCAGAAAAGAAGTGGTTTTATTGTACAACCTACTGAACGTGAGATTATTCAAACTGAGAAACAAGGGCGCCATAACTTGCTAAAAAAGGAGGGGCATGTGATATAGCAATTCCAGACCAAACCAAAGGATACTCGCCTAGGTTGATTCTCAAAAGGCAGCAGACATAATGAGGTAGCGAACATAATGAGGTAGGAAGTGTGGTAGGGGACATGATGTGTCGATAAAGGAAGCAAGGGATATTAATGGGTATTAGATTGGGTTAAAATAGGCATCAGACTTTGTGCCTCAGAAATTATACATCTATATTAAAAAAACTCTCATGATTGGAAAGGAAGAAGAGAGAGGGAGGGAGGGAGGGAGGAGGAGGGGGAAAAGAAAAAAGAGAAGAAATCTATGAAAAGCCCCGTGTTATATAGATATATTTAATATAAACTATCTCTAGACTTTGACATGGCCATCCATCATTCCATTGTGATATAACCTCGTTCTGCTTAGTTATTCTCTGAGCTGCTATCAATGGTTTTCTAATAAATATGCGTGCTTCCATACTCTTAAGGAGAATACACTACATTTGTTGTTATAGGAAGATATTCGACTGAAAGTGAATGATGAACTGGGTGTGGCTGTTTTTTTAGTGATGGAGCTAGGAGGATATAAAACTATTATATTATACATCAATCAATGTGCGAAAAAATATGACATTGTAAGTTTCATATATATAAGTAGGTGAAAAGAGAATCTGGAATAGAAGCTTTACCCAAAATAAATATGATATTGTATAAATTTTTTATTTCAAAGATAATAAAAATAAAGAAAGCAATATGTATGATATTTTTTCGGGAGTAGCAGTTGCAAGATAAAAGACTTAGGGAGCTTAATAGCAATTTTAATGATCTGAGGGATTATTTTCAAAGTATTATAGATATGAGGGACTAATATCGAAGAAAAAAAACCTTAAATTTTTTGTTATGAATCTAACATTCTATTGAGTGCAAGAAATTAAATAGTAGAGAGAGGTTGACAAATGCCAATATGGTGGACAACATGATGATTGATGAGCTTAGGTCTTAGAAATCAGAATTCCTACTAATTACACAACAATTAACAAATGAAGGGCACAATACTTGCATTAATCAACTGTGAATTAAACTGATAAGGGGAAAAGAAAAAGGGTTTCTACTTTCTGACTTACCTCGTTGACGGTTGTGGTAGGAAGATTTGGACTGCTTAGAGTAAGGTTACAGAAAGCGCTATGTGACCCAGGTGTCAAACGACTCAAACCTGGTGCCTAGAGCGTAGGTGCATAGACAGAGTTCAGGTGTTTTCCTCTTTTTTTTTATTTTTTTAAGTTACAATCAATGTCATCGAAAATGTTAGGCACTACTAGGTGTGAACCAGCACCTAGCACCTAGACACTAGACCTAGAAGGATTTCTTTTGTCGTTTAAGCGGTAGCAAAAGACATTTTGCTGAAGGTTAGAGGAGTTGGAGAAAGTTCGTAATCGGTAGAAGATGGCGGAGGAGTTTGGATGAAGTTAGAGGACGTAGATACAGTAGCAGAGAAAATCATGACCAAGCCCTAGCAGTGCAGTCCGTATAAGCGGTCTCCACCCCCATAGGAGCTTTCAAGCCCTAGGCGGATGGAGCCTAGGCGGTGTACCGCCTAGGCTTAGGTGGGAAGGCAGGAGCTATTTAAAACACTGGCTTAGAGAATTAAGAAGATGAGGAGTTGGAAGAGGATGAGGTTATGGGGAGAAGATTAAAGCATATGTGTATTTTGTGAATGGCGGAACAGGAATCTCACGGTCTCATTCATATGTGCGATTTCAATTTTCACTAAATGAGATTTGGGTTGGGTTATTTTCTAGTTTAGATGGAAATCAGGGAACCTATAGACTGTAAACTATAAAGGCATTATATATGTTATGGGCTTGGAGATAAATGGACCTAAATTAACTAGCCTACAACTAAATACATACACTATATTAAAATAAAAATCCGAAAGCCAGGCGGGGCCGTGGTCACCCCCAGCCCGGTTCTGCCATTGCATGGTTTAGTTGAAATATCATAGGTTTATATGCAAGAAAAGGTAGAAGGCGCATGTTTTCTACAAAAAAGATGTATGCATATTTCAATTGATGTAGATAATAAGTTATCTTTTACCTTTAGGAGGTTTTGTCACATGACTTTGATTCTTCTCTTGTGAGAAGACATTTATTGTTAAATTCTGGGAGTGCCACTGTAGTTCTAAGTTAAATTCTCCACTCTGAAAATGCTTAGGTGCTGGATTTTCTCAAACATGTACTTTGGTGACTTGGACCTGACCTGGAAATGTTTAATAATTCAAGTTCCTGAACAATTACATTAATATATATGCCCAATGTTTGTTTAGACATAGTAGAATTGTAGAAGTATATGCCCTTTTTATAATCTTTTTTTATTGCAGAAGGTATTGCGAGCATCTAAAAGTGTATTTTCTGCAGAAAGGGTCCCTGTTTTTTTTTCCTCAAGAACTATTGCCCAAGATTTTAGACACTTCAACTAGAATGTATATTCACGTGACCTCTGTACGTGTCTTTCTCAAATGTCACCATCTCGTTATAAGCTTGCAAAATGAGTTGCAAGTAGGGATGTTAGTGAATGCAATTACTCCAATCCGATTCTGATTCCATATCCATATTCCATATCTGATAATTCTGGGTATCCATATCCACTCCATTTAAAATATGTGTGCTGGCTTTCTAAAATTTCCAATTAAATATCTGATTACATATGTAGACATACAAGACCATGTACAGATGTACTACTTTATACAATGGAAATAGTTGAACTCTGGCAAATAAAACCCTGGAAGCATTTCATATGCAAATATAGCAAATATCAATACATTTTGGACTATATTGCATAAGGCACTACTATTTACACTGTACATCTCTAAAAGCTCGACTTTTTTCAACAGCGAACCCCCTAAAAAAATCGATGCCTTTAGATTATATCTATTTCGTGCTGCGTAATATAACACAAAAAATCTATCCACTGAAACACATTAAATTTGCAGGTTGAACTATTTTTCTTCAAATCTTAAGTAATAATCAATTTTGTCCAGTTAGTATCTGGATCCTAGTTGGAATTTGTTTTTATCAAATTTGGTAAGAAACTTTAATTTTCAGACTGTTAGAATATAAAATTATTAACCTCCACCTTCACCACACTTTTAGAGTTTTGGTGTAGCGACAGGGATTAAAAGATGGTACTAGAACAACCTAGGTTCAAATCCTGCTATTCATGAATTTCTAGAGCGGATTAAAAAAAAATACCGCTCTATGAGTCCAGTTTTCGGCCTATAACAAGGGCTGTCAACCTGTGGGGGCATGTTAGAGTATGAAATTATAACCCTTAATCCTCACAACAACATCAGAGTTTTGGTATAGTGATAACTTAAGACAGACAAAATACCTATCCGTAGCTGTGAAAGAAAAACAAGTACGGATACAATTGACCCTGCACTTGCTTTGCTTACACCCCTAACCAGATCATTATGTAGCAGAAAGGCAATACTTGCAGGGCAAGCAGACTATATTTTGCAGGCAAATGGACGTTCCATATGCAACAATGTAGTTTTATACAGAAAGAAAATGCAGGCAACATCAACCTTTGTGAATATTTACATCTTTTCCATAATTTTATTGTGTAATACTATTATCAAATCTAAATTTATAACAATGATTGTATGCTAGAGAGAGTTGAAAGCAAACATGATTTATTTACATAAGTTATACATTAAGTGAGAGAAATCTGTGCACTCTTTTTATTTTTCAGATAAAATGTGTGCCTTATGTTACAGGGTCAAGATGAGCTTCGTGGTACACTCCCGAGAAACGAGCGAGCAAACATATCGGGTTTTGAGGAACTGAGGCTAGGAAGTATAGAACCTTCAGACTTTGTTATCTTCACCGATCAAGCATCAGAACCCTCAGAAGTAGCAACAAGGTCATCAATGGAATTGTTTCCAGATGACCAGCTAGATTGGGGCATGTCCTTAACGAAGATGGTGAACGCAAGCGTTTCAACTACTGTGTGTGTTTGGTGCAGCAGAGAGTTCAGCCTTGAAGGTATTGAACCTGAACCACAGTCAGAATCTCTGGGTTATATGTGTCCAGATTGCAAGGCTAAGATTTCAGGCCAATTGGGCTTGTTAAACAATGGATTTTCATAGCCAAGAAAATGACATGCTTCTCCCTTCAGGGAAAAATATGCCCTTCACTGAACGTATATTACTCTCTAACTTTATTTTTACTTTAGGTTGATTTTGATGCCTGTGATTGCTGTACTTTCAGGCTCCTTTTTTGTATTTATTAACGCATGCTATGTAGCTGGTAACTCGAAGATGGTATACCCAGTGAGCTTGTTCTCCTGAATTTTGTAACATTGAGGACCCAGCGAGCTTGTTCTCCTGAATTTTGTAACATTGAGGTTTCCTGTACTTGATGGGGTCTCTGAAAAGAAATGGTGCTGATCTTGGAAATTTGGAAGATACAAGTCATTTGTATGGGGAAGCTGTTTGATGTCAATATATTAGGACACGGAAGCACAATCTTTCCCCATCTTTCCTTTTTTATCTTCTTTTTTTTTAATTTAATCTTTTTGGGGTGTATGTCGAAAAAAAATGTGGTAGGCTCACAAGCTTTACTTTGAAACATTCAAACAAGTTATGTCCAAGGACTTAGGAAGTGTCGATAAGGGTCAACAAATTTCAGCTACTCTCTGTTCTTGACAGACGAAATTATTCGTCAAATTTTTTTCGATATATCGATGATTCTTCCTCTATGGCTTCTTGGTGATTTTTTTTTTTTTGTTGATGGGCTCATAGTCAAGTTTGCCGTTCAGATTCTTGCCTAGTTTTACTTTTTTTTTTTTTGGCGTTGGGGGGTGTGTGTGTGTGAGTCCCTTACATCTGAGCTATTTTGATATTAGTCCCTCAAATCTGAGTATTTTGATATTATTCCCTCAAATTGCTTTAAGTTGTTGATTTTAGTCCTTCAAGTTACTGGCTGTTAAATCTATAGGGGAACATTCTGTTATTTATAACTGTTGCATTTATGGGACAATTATGCCCCTCACAAAAGTAAAATTCATCAATGCATAATTAAAATCTAATCAAATTAAAATTCATCATTTCATAATTAAACCCTAATCAGAGTTAAACCCTAACTCATCCCCAAATTTACTACAAATCCAAATCTTTAAACTCTAATCAAAACATGCAATGAGAGAGAGAGAATGTCATTTAGTGAGGGTGAATTACACTGAGGGTATTTTGGTAACTTACCATCTATAGTTAATATTAACCCAACCATGGTTTAAATTTTTTAACATAAAACCTAACAAAGGACTAATATCAAACAACTTAAGATAATTTTAGGGAATAATATCAAAATACTAAGATTTAAGGGGCTAAAATCTAAATCGCTCATATGTAAGGGGCTAATATCTAAAAAACCCTTTTTTGGCTGTTTCTCCTGAATAACAGTAAAATAAGGAGTTATTATATGCTAGGGAGGACCTTGATTCCTCTGAGATTCAAATAATGTACTGTCAAGATCACTACAAGTGATGAAAGTAATGTACCCTTGTAATAGTGATGAATTGTGAAGGTTCAATTAAGAAGTCAAACTACACTAGCTTCTAGGATGGATAAATCTTCAAAACCAACCTTTTAGAACTTTATTTTAAAAAATCGACATATTTATCTTATATTTAGCATTTTCGACCTAGTTTCAGCCAGCTGGTTAAAACTGGGTCAAAATTGCTAAGTAAGTTGCGAAAATTTCATGTGATTTAGAATCCCGTAAAGTTTAATCGTTAATTAATCATCGCTAAATAAAAAGCCTGGTCGTAGTCTACTAAAAAAACTTCACGGGGTTCTGAATCCCGTGAACTTTATAATAAACAAATGACACAAAATAAGCAATGATGTGCAGTGGGTTTAGTGGTTATAGCATTAGCCTATAAAGGCTTGGGTGAGAAGCACATGGTTCCAATCTCAGCCTAGTAGATTTTTTCGGATTTAGAATCCCTTATATAGGATTCTAAATCCCGTGAAGTTTTAGCAAATTATTTCCCATTTTCGACCTAATTTCAGTCAGCAGGCTGAAACTAGGTCGAAAACGTTAAATAAATCTGATACGAGTCGCCGTGCGAGCACTCTTGATCGCGGAATTATCAAGAGTGGGTAGAGAAGAAAACGACAGAAGAACACAAGAGTTATAATTAGGGCGAAGGAAAATACATTTTCTAGATTATGAGAATCAATTGGATTTATAAAATCTCTCTCACACAATCTCTCTAGATCAAAGAACAACCTCCCTGATCTCTTTTCTGATTACAATCTGAGTGCTCCACCCTAGAAAAGTCGTGTTTCTATTTATACTAAACAGAAATCCTAAACGGTGCAGGAAACAGGCCCAGGCCCATAACCGCTACGCGGTCGACCGCAGTGACCAAGTCGGTCGACCGGCCAGAACGTCGATTTCTAGAAAAATCGCTTACAGGGTTTCCGGTCGACCGCAGCGCCTGCAACGGTCGACCGCTCTCAGTCCAGAGACACAGTCTGAGTCTGTGCACTACGTGGTCGACCACAGTGACACATGCAGTCGACCGGACAGAACCCAAGCTGTAATTCCTACAGTTTGACGAATCCTTTGATTTCGCCGCCTCCAATGACCTCGCCCATGACTCCTCTATTCTATTTTCAAAATACCATGAGAATCATCTATCCTCAAGCTCCCATGAGGATCGCTAAGCTCCCGAAGAGAAGATACACCCGTATCATGGCCCCCCTTTAGGAACTTGAAGTCCCATTCAAGTTAGAACTTCAGCTGAGGGAACTCGCGAGCCCCTCCTTCTCTGTTGAACCACTTGGCCTTGCTAGGGACCTGACCTTGACGTCCAATGAGAAACGACTCCTTCGTCCCCCGCCTCGTCGTGGTCGTCTTCCGTTCCAAAATGCAATCTTCTTTCAGTGGCTCCTCTCTATCAAACCACAAGTCTTCAACATGCGGTAAGATCATCTTGTCATCACCTTCATCATCCAATAACGGAGGTTCAAACAACTTTAAGTACTCAGCATTGATCACCGAATACATGCCTAAGTAAGGCGGCAAATCTAATCGAAAAGCGTTGTCGCCAATCTGATTGAGAATCCGAAACGGACCATAACGAATAGGCTTCAACTTCTTCCCTTCTCCTTTTAGCCTCTCCTTACTCAATTTTAGCCATACCATATCGCCTTTACCAAAGTTACAAGGAACCCGATGTTGATCATGCTCCGCCTTGTACTTAGCTTGTGATTTCTTCAATTGAGCTTCAACCGTGGCATGAATATGTGCAATCTTCTCGAGAAATCGCTGAGCACGTTGTCTTTCACTCCCCTCCTTGCCGTCCACTGTGGCTTCACACGAAAACACAAGATCGAACCGGCTCGGCGGTAAAAATCCATACCAAGTCTCAAACGGTGACTTTCCGGAAGATCCATGAATCGCCCGATTAAAAGCAAACTGCAAATATGGTAAACTCTCATCCCAAGTCTTAGGATGCCTGGAATTATACCCCCGCAACATATGCACCATAGTCCGGTTGACTACCTCCGTTTGTCCGTCTGTTTGTGGATGAAAGACCGTGCTCTTCTTCAATTTAGTGTCCATTAAACTCCACAAAGAATCCCAAAAATACCCGAGAAAACGGCTATCCCGATCCGAAATAATCGAACTCAGCAACCCAAAGTGCTTCCACACATGCTCAAAGAACAATTGTGCTGCACCCGCTCCCGTCACGGTCTTCTTACAAGGAATCAATATCACCATCTTGCTGAACCAGTCCACCACAACGTACAAATAGTCATGCCCGCGCTTCGTAGTCGGCAACCCTCCTAGAAAATCCATAGAAATGCTCTCCCACGGCCTAGAAGGAACCGGTAATGGTAGGTACAATCCCCTCTTTCTGTTAGAAGGCTTCGAAATACAGCATAACTTACACCCTCCAACATACTTGGTCACATCATCAAGCATCCGTGGCCAAAACACATGTCGCCGTAGATTGAGAAGCGTTTTCTGAATGCTAAAATGCCCTTGCACACGCGAGGTATGTGCTTCCCGAATCCACTGCAACCTATCACCCTCCTCCGGAATGCATAGTGATGTCCCATGATACAACAAGCCATCTTCCCCAAGTGCATACTCCCCCCTTCGACCAGCCTTCGCCTGCTCAAACATACTACCGAAGTCTCTACTGGATGCGTACAGCTGTACATACTTCAAAGAAACCAAGGGCTGAATACGCGTCGCCACCAATAAAGACCTTATCGGCGGACGAGATAACATATCGGCCAACTTGTTCGTCGCCCCCTTCTTGTACCTAATAATGATATTGAAAGCCATCAAATAAGACATCCACTTCATGTGCCGTGCCTGCTGTAGCTTCGTCTGGGTATGTAAGAACTCCAACGACTTGTGATCCGAATGCACGACCACCTCCTTCCCCAACAAGTACACCCTTCAATGCTTAATTGCTTGATATAGTGCATAGAACTCCTTGTCGTAGGTTGGGTAGTTCGCAACAGCACCCGAAAACTTCTCAGAATGGTATTCCACCGGCTTCCCATCCTGAATCAACACCGCGCCCATCGCATAACTAGACGCGTCGGTCTCCACCTTGAAAGTCCGCTGCAAATTCGGCAACACCAACACCGGTACCTCCGAGATCTTCCTTTTTAGCAACTGAAAAGCCTCCTCATGCGTCCTCCCCCACTCAAACTGAACTTTAGCCTTTGTGAAGACATGTAACGGTGCCGCATAAATCGAAAAATATCGAATGAACTTACGCAAATACTGGCAAGCCCCCATGAAGCTCCTCACCTCAGTCACTGTTTTCGACGTCGGCCACTTCGTGATCACCTCCACCTTGCTTGGATCTATCCTCCGCTGGCCCTTCCCTACGATGAAGCCGAGATACACAAACTCGTCCTTCCCGAACTCACACTTCTTCCCATTGAGCTTCAGCTGTCCGTCCTGCAACACTTCAAATACCCTCTCAACATGAACGAGATGCTCCTCCCAAATCCTGCTGTACACCAAAATATCATCAATGTAAACTATCACAAAATCCTCTATAAAAGATCGCAACAAATCATTCATAAGCCTCATAAAGGTAGCCAGAGCGTTGCACAATCCAAACGGCATCACCAACCACTCGAATAGGCATTGCTTGGTCTTGAACGCAGTCTTCCAAGTGTCTTCCTCCCGAATCCTCACCTGATGGTAACCAGACTTCAAATCCAGCTTCGTGAAAAACCTCGCTCCCTCTAACTGGTCCATAAGATCATCGATCCGTGGTAATGGGTAGCGATTCTTGATGGTTATCTTGTTGAGCGCCCGGTAATCTACGCACATGCGCCAGCCTCCATCCTTTTTGGGCACCAACAACACTGGTGACCCGTAAGGCGAACAACTCGGCATAATCACTCCCGTCTCCAAGAGCTCCTGAACCTGCTTCTTGATCTCCTCAGACTCCTGTACTGATGTGTGGTATAGGCCTATGTTAGGTAAGGAACTCTCCCCGGTCAACATAATCTCATGCTTTACACCTCGACGTGGTGGTAGTCCCGTGATCTCCGAAAACAAGTCCGCATACTTGGCCTTTAACCTGTCAAGATCTCCCTCCTGAAGCTTGCTCAAGGTGGACAAGTACATCCTACTCAGCTGCTCTTCATACGGCCGAATGAACAATAAAATGAACTTCCTGCCCGCATTCACCAACCTCTTAGCCTGAGTCACCGTCACCAAGCTCGTCTCCTGTGGAAGAGATGCCGAACGAAAAATGAATTGCTCGCCATCCTTGGTGAACGTATACTTTTGGGCTCGCTGATCATATACTGCGTATCTATCCCACAAATAAGGATTGTCCAAAATAACTTGGCAAACATCCAACGGAATCACGTCGCATGTGACCTCGTCAATATACGACTCATGGAGTGCAAATCTGAATGAACACTGGTTCACTACACTCAATCCTGCCTCCTTCTGAATCCACCCTAATGGATAGGGCTTCGGATGCTTCACCGTCTTCAATCCTAGCTTCTGTACTAATGCCTCATATATCAGATTTTTTTGGCTTCCTGTATCTACAATAGCGTCCACTAAACTGGTCTTGACCTGCAACTTCAGAACAAAGAGCTGCTCCCTCGGGTCGTCATCTTTTTTAGTGGCCTACTTCCCCATCATAAGGTTGAGACTGCTATTGGGTTTAGTCATCCCGGGAACCTCCTTCGGACCATGTGCTATCACGTATGCCTTCTTCTCCTCCTTCTTCTTCAACCCTTTTGGCTTCATATGATGATACTTATCCCAGCAACGATCAGCCACGTGCCCTGTTTGTTTGCAGTGATTGCATGTCAATCCTGCTTTCCCCGAGTCACCCTTCTTCTTCTCATCCTTAGACTGAGAGTCACCCGTCTTGCTCCCCGATGGTTTGGAATCCCCCTTTATCTCGTTGCCCTTCTTCTGCCTGCCCTCAATGACTATGACCTTCACGCTCGCCTTTGCGATTGTCTCAACCAAAAACAGCTTCATCTCCTTCCGGATGTAATCATTCAGATCCGCCATGTACTTCATGAAGATGGAGTACTCGTCCGTTGCGATGTTTAGAACCATCGCCTGCTGCTGGAACTCCGTCGTGTACTCTTGAATGGTCTGATTAAACTTTTGGCGCAAGCCATACCACTTGTACCAACGCTCCTCAAGGAACTCCACTGGATAGAACTGTTTTCGAAGTAGCTCCTTGAACTTGTTCCACGATGCCGCTTTCTTCTCCTGTTTGCAATAGGATTTCCACCACGTCAACGCGTGTCCTGAAAGCTTCAATGTCGCGAACACTATCTTCTCCTTGGACGAATATCCGTAAAGAGTGAAGTACATCTCCATACGTTTGATCCAATCATCAAGCTTCTCCACATTGATACTCCCATCATAAACATGAATCTTAACCTTGAAGTCAATCTTCAGATTCTGGTAATTATTCTTACCCCTTGATGTCCAACAGTCTTGACAATCTTAGTCTTCCCCTCGGAATCAGATTCCTCGCTCTCTTCGTCGGATTCGACGAGTTTCTTCTTACCCTTCGAAGAAGATTCCTCCTTTTTGTCTCCTCCGTTGATGAAACCCACGAGTTGAGTAAGAGTCGTCCTGATCGTCTCAATCTGTTTCTCCATGGCATCAAGTCTTGCTGAATTATCTGCTTCAGTCATCTTCTCCTTCCTTAATTTCTGGACTCCCTCCAAGGAAATAAGGATCTCGCCAAGCTTCTTGTACTGTGAGCGAGTAAGGACCATACACAGGTTCCCCCTTCACAGGATCTAGGTGCTCTGATACCAACTTGATACGAGTCGCCGTGCAAGCACTCTTGATCGCGGAATTATCAAGAGTGGGTAGAGAAGAAAACGACAGAAGAACACAAGAGTTATAATTAGGGCGAAGGAAAATACATTCTCTAGATTATGAGAATCAATTAGATTTACAAAATCTCTCTCTCACAATCTCTCTAGATCAAAGAACAACCTCCCTGATCTCTTTTCTGATTACAATCTGAGTGCTCCACCCTAGAAAAGTCGTGTTTCTATTTATACTAAACATAAATCCTAAACGGTGTAGGAAACAGGCCCAGGCCCATAACCGCTACGTGGTCGACCGCAGTGACCAAGTCGGTCGACCGGTCAGAACGTCGATTTTTAGAAAAATCGCTTACAGGGTTTCCGGTCGACCGCAGCGCCTACAACGGTCGACCGCTCTCAGTCCAGAGACATAGTCTGGGTCTGTGCACTACGCGGTCGACCGCAGTGACACATGCGGTCGACCGGACAGAACTCAAGCTGTAATTCCTGCAGTTTGACGAATCCTTCGACTTCGCCGCCTCCAATGACCTCGTCCACGACTCCTCTACTCTATTCTCAAGATACCATGAGAATCATCTATCCTCAAGCTCCTATGAGGATCTCTAAGCTCCCGAAAAGAAGATACACCCGTATCAAAATCTCAAATAGGTCGATTTTTAAAAATAAATCTCAAAATGGCTGGTTTTGAAAATTTGTCCCTTCTAGGATAGAATTTCATAGTGACTCGTGAGCACTTCACTCTGCTAGTGTCTTTCTCTGCTCAAACGAGAAGAGAGAAAAAAAGAGAGAAGGGAGGAGGGAAAAACTTGTCAACGAGAGAACACAATGGACACACGGCGGAAAATTAAACCAAAATGGTTTCTTTTGTGTGAGCTTCTGAAATACAGTGTTCTTATCGATTTTCTAGAGGGACCCTCTTCTTAGTAGCCTGCCCCCTTTCAGGCATCTGTTAACAACTCATAATTACCTTCTTACATGCGAATCTATTCATAAAGAAAAATGCTAAAAGGACCCAAAAAAATGGGACAAGTAGTGAGACAGGTGAAGACATGTGAAGTGTCAACCTTGTAGGCGTTGAAAATTGCCTATAGGTCTCCACGAGCAGCTCAAAACTAAGAGAAGACGATGAACGTCACTATCCAAGTTACAGAAGCTTGATTGACGCCGGCGAACGCTTAAAGTGAATCGACGAACTACGTGAAGCAACGGAATTTCAGAATAACGAGGATACGAACTGATCGGGAGCCCCGCGTTACTTACAAAAGGGGAAACGCCTCTCGTATCCCAGTTTATTCCACAATGACCCAATCATCGGAGCTTATAGATCTCCTCGTCGGCTTTCCAACGTACTTTGAATCACTCAAATTCGAGTTCGGATGAAGAAGTTACGGAGGAAATGGATAAGCGCGCAAAACGGACTGTCTCAGCCTAAGCTAAGACACCCCGAAGTGTCTCGGCCAAACCGAAACACCCCAAGGTGTCTCGGCACAGTGGGACACACCCTAAGGTGTCTCGGCCAAGGGTGTCTCCATTTAGGCAGAGACACCCAAGGGTGTCTCGGCCCGGGCAGAGACACCCAAGGGTGTCTCCATTCTCGTTGAGACACCCAAGGGTGTCCACAACCCTAAAAAGTTATTTTTTCCGCTGTTATGCAGTTTTAACCGTCTGGATTCTCTGGAGCCTATAAATACAGCCCCAGGGCCCTTATTTTTTCAGATATGGAATTTTAGAGAATTGACGAAGCCCTGCCGGATTGAGAAGATTGATCGAGTTCTTCAACACAGGAGAGAAAGGTTCTTCAGATCTACATCACCCGTGTCCGTTCCTTAGAATTATCCCGTTGTGGTAATCTTAAGAAGAGCAATTATCTCGCTGTTGTCGAGATAAGCGCTTCTGCTTCTAGATTCCTTCGCGAATCGACGGAGTATTGGATCTGATCTGATTGTCAGGTAGTCCACGGATATCGATATCCCCGTCACCGGTCAAAAACCCACGCAAGCAAGAGACGACGAACGGATCTTGCGTTATTTTCGAGAGAGTTGTAACCCTTTATTTCTTTCTTTTGTTGAGCATTTGAATTCTTTGTAAACAATTAAAATTATAATGAATTCAACAATGAAGACAACTTTCAGCGAAAACAAACCTCACATTGCATAATGAGCTGGTCATGACAAGCTCATTATGCAAGGTGAGATTGACACCTTATCTGTCCCACTGCCTGTCCTATTTTTTGGATCCCCGTAACTCGATAAACAAATTCCCTGCCTTCAAATCTCACCGAATGCGCGTCGACGCATAGATACCCGCATAATGCAGTGTTTCCACATCTCCGTATAGAAATTTCTATGCGTTAACGTCCCGACTGCAATAATTGTTTGGTTCGGTCGTCGCATCAGAACGGTACCCACTTTAAAACCCAACGACGTGGGCCCCCCCATTTCTTATGTTGCGAACCAGAATAAGAAAAGTGGGCCGTCCAGTGATCCCGTCCTAAAACAAACGGCCCAGATTTCCTCTCGCCTGATCAGCACGTGACTATTCATCCTGTCCATCCATCGTTTATCATCTCCTCCCCCCCCCTCTCTCGCCCCCCCCTCTCTCCTCTCCTCTCTGTCGCCGCCTTGAAATCAGAGGAGAGAGAAAGAAAGGGAGAATTTCAATTTCAAAATAATAAAGAAGGGGAAAAAAAGGGGGGAGAAAAAGGCGCTAAAAGAGATTCTCTCCCTCCTTTCTCTCTCATCGTCCGCCATGAATGGCGACGGGCTCTAGGATGCGCCGGGACCGTCCTCCCTCTATCGTGCGCCTAGGGTTAGGGTTTCTCTTCCGCTTTGTATAGAAATACCTTGTGCTCGGCTATGGAGGCGAGGTTCTTGAGAGGTTTCGCCCTGTTGGTATTCTTCGGTCGGTTGGCTCTAGCCGTTGGAGTCTCCGCCGATACGGCTAGGGTTTCGGCCGTCGACTCCATCCTGCCACCGCCGCCTCGAGATTCGTGCTCGGCGACGGAATCGGGGTCCGGTGGTTTTGAACCGGTTGGTGTGGTTGAGGTGCGCTAATCTGATCTTAGGGTTTGGTATTTTTGTTCAATTCATCGGAAAAAAGATTTAACTTTTTGATGAAAGGATAAAATGATTAAATGTCTTATGAAATTTGTGCTTACGCGAATAATTTATTTATTTAGTTTGGTATGCAAATCTCGTTACCAGTTCATTAGGAAAGGCGAAAACTTCACCGTGACAGCGACAAAATTACGTCATAAAGGATGATATTAGGCTACTACGTTGTTGGAAATAATTCATGTAGGGATGCTTTCTGGGTTTCACCGTTTAGTTCTTTATCAGATAGGTTTTTTGTTCCATCAAGTTGTCAATATTCTGTAGGTTGTTGACTTTTGAGAGCTGATTGAGTTGGAGTCTAGTCAGGATAGAGCACTTGTCTTATTCATTGCATCTGTTTCTAGATTGGAGAAGGCAATAGCTGCAAGCCTGCAAATGGTTCCATGAACCTTTGTGATTATTCGTCCTTAGAATATGCAGACATAATCTGTTTAAATAAAGAAGTAATCTGTTTAAATATTGTTAATCCTTATGGCGTTGTCTATTTTTACTTCAAAATAAAATAGTGATTGACAAATTACATTAGAATGTTTCCATGACAGATTATGAAATGGTATGGGTATCAGGTGTCAATTTCGTGGTCCTCTCCTTAGGGAGTCAATTTAGGATCTATAAGTTAACTGAAATTTTATTCTTTACACTCTAGTTCTCCAGCGTGAATTTTCAATGTTAAGGAACTTGGAGATTTTGCATAAAAAAAAAGATGGAATTCACTCTCGGGTATTTGCTTTTGGAAACTCTTTTCTGTCTTCTCCTTAGTCCGTAATTTTTTGCATCTCCAGGCCCCAGAAAACTGAAGCATGAGTCCTTGCACCTAACAGTGAAGGTCGTTGCTACGCTGGGGTGGAGCCAAGTGAGGGGTTGCCC